GGAGGCTTAATGCGTGGTCTACAATGCGAGTCGCAGAGTCGCAGTCGTAAGAATAATCGACTGCGATTGGTCAATTTCGTCAGACACATAAGAATTGACCAATCATAGTCGACTATTCTTACGACTACGACTTTTCCGACTTCTATGTAGACGAGGCTTTAGCGCCGTCGCGGAAAACGACGCGCCTGCGCCATCTTGATTCCCGTCTTAGTTTCAGAGCTCGGCGGACGCAAGACGGATCCGGCGCCGGGACGAGTGGCGTCGCGGCTCTAATTGGTAATCGAAACTTGTATTTGTATCATTGACTGCAGCATCGCCCCAATGAGAAAGGACTCGTCGTAACGATATCGATTCAACGTCGATCGACAATCGTCATTTCTCGCTTGGGCGTAATGTAGACGCTCGTATCTTGACAATCGTTTAAACCGCGTATTTCGTTCGGCCGGAGACGCGCCGTGTCGCGCGGGCAATCGAAAAAGGGCCGATCATATTTTGGATGAAAGAGCGAACGTCCATCTAGAACATCAATACGCCTACTTGTCGCAATACGAAACAATAATCGTCGTGAAAGACGAGCGCGAAGTAAGAACGCGTCGCCCTAGGCGCGTGAAGTTAGCCGCGCGGGAGAGGACGCGCCTGCGCCATCTTGATTCTTTACTTGTTTCCCGGGCGCAGCGGCGAGCGGACGCGCGGGGCGGATCGGCGCCGGGACGAGTGGCGTCGCTACTCTAATTGGTAATCGAAACTTATACATTGACTGCAGTGAGTCGCCCCGATGAGAAAGGATTCGTCGAAATCGACGTCGATTCAGCGTCGCGTCGATCGGCGAGTCATTTCTCGCCGGGGCGTAATGTAGATTTGACGCCTGCGTATTTCGTTCGGCCGCAGACGCGCCGCGTCGCGCGGGCAATCGAGAAAGGGGCGATCGCGTTTACGGAAGTTGCGAGAAAGTACCGTCGATAGCCGCCTAAAATTTACCCTTCTCGGCTCATTTTCAGGACACGGCGGCGAGCGGACGCAGGGCGGATCGGCGCCGGGACGAGCGGCGTAGCGATCCGTTTAATCGGTAAGCGCAACGTACGTTAACCTTGCATTGATCATTTATTGCAGTATGTATCGTGCGGTGAAGATTCGATGGTTATATATTGATGATCCGCTCGAACGCGCATTTCGCAACGCTCCTTCGCCGCGACATCTATTGCGCGAACCAACGCCGCGTCGCGTCGCTCGCGAGGTTAATCGGGCGGGAAACTTCTCGCCACATCGCCGCCATCTTAGATCTGTTTGTGGAGTGCGTTGTGTGTCGTGGATGTCAAGCGTGCCGCAATTCTGTTCGCTCCTGTTGCTGTCGTAACACAATTGCGTGCCGTGATTAACACCGAGACGCGTGTGATTAATACGCGAGGTATGATAGGTTAATGTGCATGGTATGACAAAGCCGCGCGTCTCTCGTGTCACGGTGATTAACCCTAACCGCGTTTAATTGCATTTTTTCTCATCAAATTTGACGCATGTCGATATTTGAGAAAGCGTTGAGAGATTAATCTTTATTAAGGTATTAAGGCATTAGTCGTTTATTAAATATTTATTGGCATGACAAATGAAATGGTACTCGCAAGCATTACACTTGTCTCCTCCCATTTTTATTTCTGTTACTTTCATTTCAATACATTTCTACGCGTTACAGATCAGTGTTGTATAATTTCGCTGTTGCATCACGATGCAGCTTGAAAAGGAATTCTGACAACTTACGAGAAGGCGAAGGAAGAGGATTTGACAACCCGAAAGAAGGTCTAACGTTAAGAGAGATGTGCGTCGGTGGAGCAACTTTTCGGTAAGCACTATTATCCGCCTGCGTAGAATTTGTCCATTTTTCCTGTTTACTCGAATCCTTTTATTTTTAAATTGGCTTAAAAAGAACAAACATGATAATCTCTTTAGGCTGGCCAGTAATAATTTTATTTGTATCTATGATAAGCGTTGTAACTTCGCTTATTGGTTTGTTCCCTTTTAGAATTTGTGCTCGACAAGGACCGAAACCCGTGGTCGGAACGTCGCATGTTATATTTTTTATTTTTATCTTTAATTTATTAAACAAGTGTCAGTTAAAGTCGACTAAACTGATCCATTGTTAAAAAGAAGAAAAATCCTGTTATTTGACAAGTGAATTATTATTTTAATAGATATATTTAATTGAAAGGTGATTAGAAAATTCTACGTGTGTTAAAATTATCCTTACCATTATTGATTTTGAACGTTACTTTAATTTGGACCTCGTGCTTGTATGTTGCAGAATCATGGCAGCTGTATGGATAATAACTCCGTCGTTGCACATCGATCGGTGAGTTACAAGTTTTATTAATGAGGTAACGGACCTGCGAAAATTGTATCAGATATTTATACCTGTGTATCGACATTATTGTAATTGTATTAAGAATGATTATAAAATTTCATGGATCCGTTACCTCGAGATGGATGAGCTATCAGACAACGTGATACATAGATATTTCCTCTTGGACTTGTTTTTAATTTGTCAATTTGACGCTACTGTGCTTGAGGCTCCACTCGCAGGTACATTTACAGAAAAAAAGATACAATAGAGCTCAATAGTCATGTATATAAAAGAAATTTTAAATGACATCTTGAATACGTCTTAACGTTACTGCATTAGTTATCTCATTGTCATCAGCTATCTTAAGAATGGCTGGAGTTTTTCATTTAAAGTATTTTACAGAAAGAAAATTGAAAGAATAAAATTAGTACGCGCGAATGCTGTACGTTATGTGTGTGCTCACATAAATTGAAGTATAAACAGCTTTTTTAAAGTTTGCCTGCCTTTCTCAGGGGCTCACGTTCGCGAGTACGGGAGTCGGCCTTCCAGAGCCGTCCATTGTCTGGAAACACAACCAGACGAACTTGTTCATATTTCCAGGCCATTAAAGTATAATGGTCGGGAAATATACATAACGAGAAGTGTGTTTAGATTTTAGTACGCATCTTAGTAAGTGTACATGCTAGTTCGACGTCGGCACATATCATCGTAAACAATATTTATGTGACAATTAGGAGCATAACGTACAACAAAATATCTTATTTTTGTATCCGGATAACTTTATAACCAAGATTCTCGAGGCATCGTAGACTTTTTAGACAAACTTCTCAGTGATCAGTTGCAACGGCATTATATGTGGAATTCGCGTGGACACAGATGTCGTGTGCGGATTTCAATGCGGTTGAGATTTATTCTGCGAAAACACGAGAGGTCCAGGCTGTACAACGACGGCCAATTAACTTGAACGATGACGTTGATAAATTGGCGTGGCAGAGCCTCTGCCACGTTGTTTGAGACATTGCCCATTCAGTGCGTCCAATATAAATATTCTGGTTAATATTTTCGTGCCACTGTGCAATTAAAATGTAAATCGACGGCATGAAAGCGCAACTCATTCTCCTCATTACTTATCAGCAATACTACAATTATAGAATATATAGATGTTGATTAAATGATCAGTTAACGTCAATAAATGATGTCGATGAATGCAGGAGAATGTAAAAGAAAGCCGTTTCACGTCTGTAAAATGACCGTGATTTTACCAAGTACGAGGCAGACATGGCACTCTGAATTACTCCGTAAATTAACGTTATAAATTAAATTAAATATCTAACAAATGCATCTGTGCCCGAACATTGATATTAAATTTCAGACAATTGCATAAGTGGCCGATAATTGAGTAAATTTATAAATTGCGTACAGAATGCGGAGAATATTTCCAAGGTAGCTCTGACAAATCTGAGGTCGCTTTCTCTCCGGCGGCTTTACATCGCGATCGCTCCTCGCGATCTTTACATTGCCAAAATGAAGTGTCCCGTCAACGCAGCCGCAAATTAAAATTTGTTTAAAATCCGCGTAATTGAAAAAGAGTCACATATATGTCGGACACTTTTCATACACGGTTTCAAAAACTCGGATCGATCGATCACTCGCTTCCTCCCCCCCCCCCCCCTCCCAGGATTCCAGCGTTCGTCTCGGTCGTCGCTCGTTGGATTTCATTCTACATTTCAAACGCTTTGCGCGAACGTAACACCGGCGGTCTCCCGTCAATCACCGCGTGACGTCTCGACATTGCGTAGCGCGCGTCTTACGACAAAGTCGAGCCAGTCACGCGTAAATGGCCTATCCTGGTCTCGCACGTAGGGAGGGACTCGGCAGGGAGAGGAGCCGCGAGTCAAGGCGAGATGTGTCGTTGTTCCTCCTCGCAACTCCCGCCGCGTTCGCTTCCTAGACAGATGGTCGGTTCGCCACATGTTACCTAACTGTAGCCTGTCTTTAAGCACCATTCCTCCCGGTGGTATCGAACACTTCTTGACGGAGATCATTGTGTGTTCGCGTCCTCCGGCTACGTTGCATGATTCCGCGTGCTACGTTGCGCGTCAAGTTGCACGCTGACACGGTGGAGAACGCGATCGTTCGCGACCGTTTCCGGTGCGGTCTCAGGTGCACGGAAAGGACTACACTCGTGGACACAATTGTATTTTGTATAAATTAATGTAACCACTCGTTACACATGTTCCGCTGAAATATCGAGATTTATCTGCTCTCTAAAAGTCAATCAGTGAATTATCATTGAAAACAGTGAATGCTCACTGATTTGCAGTTATAAGTATACTACTGAAAATTGCAGTGGTATACTTGTAGCTTTAAATCAGTGACTATTCACTGTTTTCAGTGATAATCCACTGATTGACTTTTAGAGAGTGCATGCGATATTTTTTCCCCGAATGTAAGACGTTCGTTAATAATGCGAAGGGTCCATTTTAAATCAATTAAGAAAAAATTTCTCATACGAAATAGAATTAAAATCGATATAAATTATTTCGAGAAGCAATAAAGTCAATAATATGTGTTTGTACAAGTATGTACTTGCGGTTGTTAACGAAACACGGGCGCACCCGTGTTTTTTTCGACTCTCCGCATCGCAACACATAATCAGCAAACAGAATCCGCGGTTTAATATTTGTCAGTCGCAAAGCGCAAACTCGTCGTATGTACCTTGGTGATCCGTCAAAATGTCTACTTCGTGAAATCCTTTGCGATTCTGCTACATGCCGTATCATTTTAATTTGAAAAATCTATGAAAGAATATTAGAAGGATAAATATTTACACTGATAAAAAAATAATCTTAATCCAAAAAGATATTACCTTAATCAAGAAAACTATTCATTAGGTGGCTCTTAATAGCTTATTAACTTAAATTACAAAATTAACAAACAAATTAAAACATGCATTGCTATAATTTAAGTATTTTAAATTTAAAAAATTATATTTTAATTCTATAAAATGTTTACTAAGATGTTATTTTCACATCGAAGAAAATTGGATTTCTTATTTAACAAAAACAATGATTTGTTTACTAACTAGTATTCGATATCTCATGAAATCTTTATTTGAATGTAGGAAATGTAATGATTTAAATTAATTTACTTAATATAATACATAGATTTACTTGAAATTTGATATTGTTATTTAAATAGAATAAATATTTGCTTCAGTAAAAAAATAATTTTAAGTAAATCTATTTATAGTTTACAAATTTTTTTGTCAGTCTATAACCCGGACCGACTTTAAAATAGATGAACTAGACGGATTAGTACTAATCATAAAATTGACTAGACGAACTCGCGAGCGTGAATAAAGAGAAATAGTGAGGGTATTTTGTAGACGAAATAAGTTCGGCACAAAGTCAAGAGTTAATTTTCGCGAAATAATCAAAGACGTTTAGATAGTTTTTGACGAAGGTAAAATCGTCTCGCGATAACAAGTAAATACCGAAAATGTGTTCTAGAATGGAATTTCTCGCGAATATGTGTGAAGCTATCATTTCAATCATCTGGTATCGCTTCACGAAGTTTCTATAATAATATAAAGTCTCTAATATGTTTACCTAATACTTTCTCCAATTTTATGATTCCTCCTCGCTCGATATACACTTTGCGCATATTCGTCTCGGTATAACGAGTATGAGCGCTTTACGATTCATTTAATGATACGAAGTCGCGTTAACATCAGGAAGACGCGCATTACACTTTCCCCATTTCCTTGCGTATTAACACTTCGAGCGCCAAGCTGTAAGTTCGGTAAATCTAATTTACTGTTTCAACATTTTATTACGCTTTTAAATGTCTCGCCAAAATTTATATCATTTCTTTAGCGTCTCAATATTTAGTGAAATTCTTCAACGAGTAAATAAGACCGTGGTTCGCAAATGAATGACGGGATGTTTGCGGAAATCTATACGTCACCCAGATACAGTACCGGCCAGCATTATATCACCTTTCGATTTTATGAGCACAACTAATTTTTAAGTGCTCGAGTGAAAAATTCGTAAACGTTCATCCTATTGGAGTGAATATTGACTCCAACAGAATGAACGTTTCACTCTATGCAAGTATTTTCACTCTCTAAAATTTTAGAGAGTACTTTGTTATCAAGTGTCTACTGTAAAATATGGAGCACATTCGGTGCACTTCGACAAAAGTTATGCTCAGAAAACCTGAATGGTGATACACTTTTGGCCGGTACTGTATGGATGACATGGTACACAAAATGTTAACAGAGTGTAGGCTGCGGAATGACAGAACGATCGATGTCGGTACAAGTACCTCGGAATCCGGCCTTATACGTTAATCACGCGCGATAATTAATGCACACGTGTTGCAAACGTATTCGGCGGAACTGCATTAACGGTACATTATGAAGCACAGGTTGTCATAGTCGAAATTTTAATAACGGTTAATGACGATCACCGGGAGGGAAGTTCCGCCGCGGGCTCGCGAGCGAAAACCTCGCGTGCGTTGAGCGCACGGGTGGACAATGTTCCATTTATCTCACACATTTCATCCAACTAAGACGCAAATCCGACGTTGACTCGCCGGATATTCATACTGCCGCGTTCCTTCAAGTGGTCCACTCAAGAAACACGGCCGGTACTCCCTTTTCGTACGTCCCGCGGACCGGCCACATCCTTCTTCGTTCGCCTCTGCATTTCCGTCGTGTCCTCTGCACGAGCGGGCGATTCCGCGAGATAATCCCCGCGAGAGCATCTCGCGGAATGCGCGCGTCGTACCGCGGGTCTCGTTTAAACAAAGGAAACGCCAGGTGTTCGATAATTGGACCATCGGCACGGCTGACGCACGGGCGGTTAGCACATAATATAACGCAGCGCCGAGCGAGTCACGATAATATCATCTTGCAACGCGACGGCAGAGATTTAATGAAGATACAACAGGGAGGCGGACAAGCGGACGAGATTAACTGGCGGCGCGTAATGAATTTTCGGCGA